AGGCCCCCCAGGAACTCAGTAGGTCCAGTGGGAACAAAGCTCAGCCAGCAGCGAGCACCGTAGGAAAGCCCTTCCCGCCCAAGCGAGAAGAGCAGCCGAACCAGGAGCTGAGCACTGAGAGGAAGCCACCAGCAAGGAAGGCAGTGCAGTAATCCTGCTGGATGACTCCAATAGAGTAACCTGGGCCAGGTGGCAGGATAAAGCATCTACTAAAGAGCCCAGAGGTCCTTCAGCGAGCTAGTTACAGTCCATGTGAGGAGGAGTGTTGCCCCTGGAGGAAGACATGGCGCACTGAAGAATCGTGTTAGGTACCTGGGAAGGGAGCTGCACTGGGGCGGATGCGGGTGATCTCTTCAGAGCTATGTGGTACCAAGTGTGAGCAAAGCCAGAAGACCAGCCCATGGGCTACTTATCTGTGGGGAGAGGAGAGGCTTGCATCCATGGAGTACTACAGTAGGGGTGAACGCACCCTCCTCATTCAGTGGGTGCACTAGACTAAACTGTTGAGGGGGCCTGGACCACTCGCAGCAGAGCACAACATTCTAATCCTGGCCTGGTGTGAAGGGGAAAGCTGGGGGGTGGAGAATGAGTCTGCCCCCCACTCACCCCACAGGTAAGTACTCTTGTCCTGTGGGACTGGGCCTGGTTCCCTGCTCTTGGCATTGCAGCCTGGTGCACAGAGCGGCAGCGCCACTCAGGTTTGGTCCAACTGCCCTTCTACCATGACAGGGCCATTTGGGTTAAATTTGAACGAGCGTCTCTATGGCTTTGTGCCAGGTTGCAACAGCCGGCATGGGGAGCTGGGGGCAGGGACAGGGACAGGAGCCACTGCTGTGGGTGAGTGGGAGGCGGGCTTGCTCCACCACCCAGCGGGAGAAGTGTGTGCTTCGTTTTGCCCCCATGGTTTCATGATTCCTGTGGGTGCAGCTGAACCCATTGTCCATGCTAAAGCCACCCCTTTAGAAGAGCTTTCCTGGGGGATACCTGTTAGGGTTCAGTCTCCTCTTAAGCAGCATTGGTCACCAACCACCTGTGTTCAGAGTGCATCTAGCTCGTGTGCCGTACGCCAGGCTGGAGCAGGGTGGGAGGGGAACTTCTGCTTAACTCTCTGGGAGTAACCCAGCTGGAGCTTCCAGCATATACATGAAGCAGAAGAGGAAGCTGCTGTGGCACTAGGCTAATCTGTGTGCACCCAAACGCAAAGAGCATGGGAATGCCAGAGTTATTAAACAATTGTTGATGCCACTTACTGGGAGAGAAATTCTCCTAGCCGGAATACCTGTGGAGATGGCTTCAGTCTGGACATGGAGAGATCAGGAAGGTGGGGGGATGGGAGGGGAGGGTGAATGGTATGTCGGAAGTATGGCCCTTGGGAGCGTGCTACAGTTTGTCACTAAAGAGGGCAGTGGTGAAATTAGTTGATCCCGTGGCCAGGAGGGACCATGGTGATCATGCAGTCTGACCACCTGCACAGCACAGGCCAGAGACCTGCCCTATCGTAATTCCTAGAGCAGATCTTCCAGAAACAACCAGTCTTGATTTTAAACATCGCCACTGATGGCGAATCCACCTCAACCCTTGGTAAATTGTTCCAGTGGCTAATTACTCTCCAGGTAAACATTTTACGCCTTAGTTCCCTTCCTTTGGGTCCGTATCCAGGAATCCAAAGTCAAGATCTCTTCCTGAGCCATGGCTAGGAAAGCCAGGAGATATTTGAGGCCATGTTGCATTCTCTGCTTGTTGGGGGTGAGCTTTGGACAGCATGCATCCAAACTGGCATAATCCACGGAGGTTCCTAAATGAAGGAGAGGGGGCAGCTTTATGATCCAAAGCAAGGAGCCTTGGTCCTCGATCTGCTTCTTACCCCCAGGAAGGAATAGACTGTGGTTATGAGGGAGGTAGGGAAATGTCATCGGCGTCTCCCAAGCACCTGAGTTCTGTAGTTATGGAAGGACTCTTGGGATGTGGGGTATTGGATCCTGGGAAGTGTGTTTGAGGAATTCAGGGATCTCATGTGTGAGGTGCAGTGGGAGGAGGTCTGACACCCCACCAGCCTAGGAAAGAAGCCCAAAAGCCCAGCAGGCTAGGTTTCTGCTCCAGGAGAAGCTGGCAGTGTCTCCATGAGGGGCAGCTTAGAGGTCTGAAGGCAGAAGTCTCGCTATCCTGGCAATGGGTGAGGTAAGCAGTCACACAGGGCTGTTAGTTCGAAGCTTGCAGGACAAAGGTACAGGCTGCAAGCAAGCCAAATGCACTAACGCTAGTGAAAGGGGGTCAAAGGGATGAAGAGCAGCTGTTGGAGAGCAGGAGAGGAAGGACTAGAGGGGATGTTGGCCCACTGATCACTGACGAGGGACCTGAGAAGAGTGGGTGATAACTGACGAGAGACCTGAGGAGTGTGAGGGACCTGAGGAGAGTGGGTGTGTGTAAATCTGCCTGAGGAAAATAAAGTTGAGATAATTTAGAGAGGGGGGTTACCTGTATGCATGCATCCGGCTCAGCTGGGCCAGAGGGCTGGAGGAATTGACAGAATTGACAAACACATTTGTCCAAAGCAACAGATTCAGACTAACACGGCTACCCCTCTGACATTTGTCCAAGTGATGATTGCTTTGGAAAAATCATTGGAAACGGGGGTGTTTTTAGGAAAGTCCTAGAGACTATAGTACCGGCCTCTTCTGAGGGGAGGTCCATGCCCGGCCAGTCTAACTCCTGTCCCTAGTGAGCGAGTGGAATGGATAACTATGGAGAGAGAACATGATTAAATCTTCAGAACCTGGCGCAGTTCACAGCACGGACCCTACCTGCTCTCTCTGGCTCTGTCCTGGCGCATGCAGGGAGCACGCTAGATGGAATGTAATCGGCATGGACTGTAGTGAAGCCTTTGCAACTGTCGCCTGAGTTTAATGTTTAATATATGGAGATATACCTATCTCCTAGAACTGGAAGGGACCCTGAAAGGTCATTGAGTCCAGCCCCCTTCCTTCACTAGCAGGACCAAGTACTGATTTTGTCCCAGATCCCTAAGTGGCCCCCTCAAGGATTGAACTTGCAACCCTGGGTTTAGCAGGTCAATGCTCAAACCACTGAGCTATTCCTCCCTGAACTATTGCTCACAAGTTCAAAGCAGCTGCTAGGAACACAGTCCCATAGGTTGACTTCTGTCTGAAGGGCTGTAAACAAGGGGTAATGATGGGTGTCTAATGGAGCACTGCAAGGGTCTGGGTTAGATCCCCTCTTAGTAAATATTTCTTCATTACTTGGAAGGAGAAAACAGCGTGTTAATGAAATTCCCAGATGGTACCAAATTGGTCTGAATTGCTAACAGAGAAATAAGACAAAGGGATCTAGAGAAATTAGAAACACGGGCAATTAGCGGCAGCTGAAATGGTAAGCTCCTGCATCTGGTGGGGAGGGCCGTGATGGAGATTCCAGGGGAAGGGCCAGGCCAGGGAGACAGCTGCAAGCAGAGAGCTGAGGGGGTAAGTGGAGAGTCGTCTGCTATGAGATGTAGCAGCAAACACAACTTTGGGTGCAGAGCACAGAGGTGTCACATCTAGGGGTGCCAGTTTTGTGGGATGTATTCCTGGAGGTTCCATCACATTACATACTCTCTTAATTCCTGGAGACTCCAGGACAGCCCTGGAGCGTTGGCAACCCTAGTGGTGCCATGGACCAGAGAGCTGTCCCTTTCCACGTGGCTCTGGGGGAACTGCCCCTGAAATGCTGGGGCAGGTTAACAGACTGCAGAATGGCTAGGGAACAGCAGCAGGGCTGACGGGGGTAGAGGGATTGGCGTAGGAGGAAAGACTGAGTGAATTGGGCCCCATCTACATAAGAAAATTTCTCCGGTTTTACTAGATTGGTTTAGAAACCAACTGGAAATTGGTGCAGCCCGCTTCCTTTGCCCGCTGACGAGGAACCACGTCCCCACAGCACGTTGTGCAGCTGTTACTGACTTCACTTATTCAGTCAGTGTCACTTGCTCGCATAGTCCAGGCCTCCTGAGTGTTGCCTGGCATGGAGGTGACCCAGACGGTGCAGGGGCTATACCCCTGCTGGCGGACATGCAAACACAGAGCTCACTTTCTGTCTCTTTGCATTGCCTTCCCCAGCACTAGCCTTGATGCTCCAATTGACCCGTGCCCCCCTGCATCTAGAAAGCCCTGTCTACCCTGAGCCCAGCCTGCACCACTCTTCATTCGAGTTCCCTCGTAACCCAGCTTACCTGTCTGTTGGTCTGAAAAAGGGCAAGAGCACCAGCTGTGCCCTAGCTGAGCAGCCATGTTATGCTGCTGGTGTCCCCCCCCCATCGCTCCCCCCCCCCGAGGCTTTGCGCCCATTCGTTATGTGAGCTGGGTTAGTGTGTAAGCTCCTTAGTGTGGATCCTCTGCGTGTCCGCACGTGCTGTGTGCTAGCAGTGGCAATACAAATGCTCCAGAAGGGAGGGGAACGAACACTGTGGCTGCCAGGAGGGGGGATCTGCGCTTCCAGCAGTGGCTCTTTCTGACTCAGGCCTACTAGGAGAGGTGGGAGCTCCATTACTTGTAGTGTCTAAACCTACGCTGGAGAAAGCTGTGGGCAGTGCTCACTAGGGTGGTGAGCTGGCCAATAGTTAGCGTTCTATGGTGGTCATGCTCCGGACGGGGTCTCTGCCTCTGTTCTGCCTGCGTTCACATGGCAGCACCGCCACTGCTCACAGAATACATTTGCATTTCCTGTGTCTGGCAGCTGGCAGGCGGGTTCTGGCCTGTGCGTCATGCCGGGAGCAGCGGCGGGCCGGGCACAGGGTGCTAGCAGAGTTCTAGGTACTGAGCAAGGGGTGTCTTCGCTCCTGGCAAGAGCCTTTGCGAACACCTGGGCAGCGTTGGCTGTCTGCTCGGAGCAGGCTGGTTACTGTATGCCAGGGCCCGCCGTCTGGCAGCAGCAAGCCTGCGGCCTGGCTCCATGTGTGGGGTTGGGGTGCAGGTTGTCTAATCGCGGTTCCCTCTGCTTCTTTCCAGGTTTCAAGTGCCCCATTTGCTCCAAATCTGTGGCTTCCGACGAGATGGAAATGCACTTTATCATGTGTCTGAGCAAGCCCCGCCTCTCCTACAACGGTAAGGGCTCCCTTTGTGCGCAGCAGCTGGCTCGCGAGCCTGAGGGAGGGCCAGTAAACGCCAGAGGGTTTACTAGGCTGCTCAGCCCAGGCCACGAAGAAAAGCCTCATTGTAGTGAGACGTGCTGCGTCTCTACAGGAGAGACCGCTGGCTCACCTCGCAGGTGTTGGGCTTGGAGGGGTCAGCCTGAGTTGCCTTGCTACGGGGGAGCATGTCCAGACGAACGCTCTCCTGGGTTCTGAGTTAGCCCCACCCGCTGGATACAGGAGCTGCCCCTGTCTCGGCCATGCCCTTGGCCCCATGGGCCTGACTTTCCCCCACTTTGCTTCCAGGTCTGGGACTTCCCGTCGCACTTGAGTTTTTCAGCTGGGGGTGGCCAACTGGCTGTCAATCCTGTGTGCCCAGGCCTCTTCTCTCCACCCCCCTTGGGGGTTGTAACACCCTTCCCCACATAGCCCCCATCCAGCCCCACTTGGCTCTTCCCAAAACTGCCCCAGTGGGGTGCGGGGGGAGGCAGCCAGCTGGGTCACACGTGTGGGGCTGGGGGCTGAGGATCAACCCTATTGGCTTGCACTGTGCAGAGCTTTGCCTTGCCAGGTGGGAGTGGGGTGGAGGAGTGTCGGGGGAGAAGACAAGGGCAGCCCTAGATGTGGCTGTGCTGGGAGCAGAAACCCCGAAGTGTAGTGTCTGGGGAGGGCAGGCCAAGTGCTTTTCTCCCAGAGCATTTGTAGGGTGTGGGTACCCACAGGGCACTCTGGGGTCACTTTGTTTCTCCCAGTGACTTGACCAGTGAAGAATTGAACACTGGGGATTGGAACTGATTTGCCTAACTTGATTACCCAGCCGAGATGCCCTGTGGCTGGTGGTAGGATCTGGTGGTCCAGGTAACCCGCTTCCCACCTGCAGGAGGGCCTGGTGCCATGCCATGTGGGTGGCATGTGGGTTTGGTCTGTGCAGTGCCGATGAGGGCAGTCTGGGCCTGGCCTACTCCCAGGCTGTGAGCGCTAAGGACTTGCCCCAAGCCCCTGATTCTGTCCCACGGGCCAGAGCAATTCCTGCTTGTCTGGTATTGGGAAGGGCCCATCCCCTCAGTCCCTGAGTGGGCAGCTGTGCCACAGGAAGTGTTCATGCAGCTTAGCCTGCCCCCTGGATGGGGGCTCCCCCATCTCGTTCCATGGTCCTGTAGGTTGTACTCAAAAGATAGTTCTCCCACCCCAACCCCCCTTCTCCAGGTGCCTCATGCACGTGCTCTTGGCCTGGCAGCTCTGAGAAGCCCTGTGTGGGGACCCCTTCTCCTTCGTGCTGCTGGTCCTTCAGTCCACATGGAGCCCCTATCTCCCCGCTTGCGTCCCCTCATCCCAGCCCGTAGGGAGCGCACCGGCTGTGTCTGGGGGGGTTAGTCATGTGCTCTTGGCGTCTGCGCGAATGGCAAGCACAAGAAGACTAGTGGGCCTGGGACCAAAGGACAGCCCTGCCCCCGGATCGGGGTGGGCAGAGTGCCCTGAACGTAGATTGTATGGTCCCACCCATCCCAATGTGCAGAGGGGTTAGCAGCAGAGAGCTGCCTGCGCAGGTTCTCTAATGCAGCAGGTGAACAGGGGCAGTGAGCAGTTATGGCAGGTGGAGCGAAGTCTGGAGCATGGAGGAGCTGGGCGCGGTGTGATAAAGGGGAGAACCCTGCAGACAGGGGGTGCTGCAGACGGACACAGCGCAGCATTTGTGCTGCAGTCTCTGGGGCGATCGGCCTCCAAGCCATCTCTCTCTGGAGATTGGGCAGTGGGGGAATGATGTTAATACGTGGTCAAGGCGAGCTGAGAAGCTGATGCTTTTTCAGTGCAAAAACTGTTTCAGCTCCCAGCTCAGTCACGCAGACTTCACAGCTTCAGGCTGTTACCCTGTAGCCCCCGTATCCTCCTTTGCTCCCCTGCCGAGACCACGTTCATGGGGGTGTGTTTGCCCTGTGACTTTGGAGCCCCCGGGCTGTTCTGTGCTCCCCACGCTGGGCTATGTGTTTGATGTCAGCTAGCCAGGGAGCCGCAGGGTGCTGTGCTTGGGGCTCGGCAGATGGGTCGAGGGACCGATTGAAATGTGTTTAATGTTCATGTCCCTCCAATAGTCTGATGTGCTGCTTCCTGTAGCCCATCTGTGACCCAAGGCGTAGAGTAAGTCACTGGGAGCAGCTCTGCCAGGGCTCTGCCGCCTCCTGCTGTTAGTCCTCCAGCCCTCCGTTTCCTTCCAGCTGCCCCTTTGGCCTCTCACCTGGGGCGGGGGTGCTGGGTGCGGCGCTGAGTATTAGGAGCTGGTGTCAGTCCATGGGTGGGGACGGGGCGAGGCTGTGATCTGGTGGTGGTCTCCTGAGGTCGGTCGGTGCCCTGGCTGCCATGCTATCCTTTGCTACTCCCACTTCTGGATCCCACACAGCTCCTGCATTCCACTTGGCTCCCGACCTGAGACAGGAGCTCTGGTTTCAGCATGTCCCTGCCCTTCACCCTGCTGGCAGTCTGCTTAGGGCGCTGGGGTTTTGACACTGCCAGAGCAGCTGTCTGGCCCTGGCTGGGTGTCCGCTCCCTCACGCTGACCTCAGTCACTTTCTTTCTTTATCTCAACTGCTGGCGTCCTGGGCTCTGCCAACGGCCTTACCCTGTGTGCTGCCTCCATGCATGCCCAGCCCTTCCAGGTCTGCCTGCCACGCAGGCCCTGGGGCTTCCCCCTTCTTCATGGTGCCTTGAGGCCCAGCTTGTTCTGTCCAGCCAAGCAATAGGCTCTCCGGCGCGTGCCCCTTTGCAGGAGGTACGGGTACATACTCTGCTGCTTGGCTTGTGCTGCTCCCCCGCGGCCTAGTGAGCTGAGATTCAGACCTGGTTCTGTTCCAGTGTCTGCGTACCACCGTGGGCATGAGGGGGGACACTCCAAGGTGTATATATGTGCACGTCCGTTCCTGCCCTGCTCTGCCATGGTCTGCATGCCCATGCACCGGGCACTCCTCCTCGCTGTGCAGTGACAATAGCGGGGCTCCTGTCCCTTGGTGAAGCTATGCTGCTGGTGAGGGCGAGACATGTGGCTGACTCAGTAGGGCCCTGAGTCTGGCCTGGGTGGTGGACTTTGCAGGCAAGCAGGGCCCTGGCAGGTGTGAGTAGAGACAGGTGACCCAGCAGTGCAGCCTGCATGCTTCCGGAGGCTGGTGTGAGAGCACCCTCACCTGCCAGTGTAGCATTTATCCATGCGAGATCAGGGCCTGCTGCAGAGGCAGGGAGTCGGTTAACAGCAGCTCCCGCTCAGCACAGTCTCTCCCCAGCGTGGCGGGCTCCCCAGTCTGTTCTCGCGACAGCAGCAGGTAGGGATTCCGGCCCCGCCATATCCTGTGATGAGCTGGACCGACTCCATGGCAGCAGGTTTTTTGAAGGGGCTGCCTCCTGTGTGCCAGCTGGCTCAGCTGAAGTGGGCATGGTTCTAAGCCGGAGCATGGGCACAGAGAGGGGAGCCAGTGAAGAGGCCCTGGAGCAGAGCTCCCAGGTGGAGAGCTTGGGTGTGAGCAAGGGGCCGGGTGCTTTAATCACCACCGTTGTGTGTGGGGGCAGGGATAGGTAAACTTCTAGCCACCATCTGGAGCTGTCTGCACTGGCCCCTCCCACTGCTGCCAGCCCAGGAGGATAAAAATCCCATTGTTTTATCAAAATTGAACTTTTTTAATTTAAACCTATTTCAAATTAAATTTGAAATTGACAACCTACATCAAGGCCTAAATGTGTTATATCTATTGTCATTTAAATTAAATACAATTAAATAATATTAAGCGGTACGTGGTTGCTGCCAAGTTTTAAAGCAAGTCACCCCCCTGACCTCCTGGAAATCATCAGCAAAGCACCTGGAACCAGAGTTTGCTGAAGTGCTAAACCAGCTTTTGACAGCAATAGCCTCTTCTGCAAGTGCAGCAGGAATATGTTCCTCATTTCACTTCATTCGACCTAGTCAGTTCAAGGGCCAGTTCATTCAAAATGAAGAACCCAATTGGCAGTTGAAAAAGCAGGAAGGCTTGTTTTCTTCTTCCAATCCAGGAAAAAAACCTAAGTATGAGAGGATGAGTTCTGCTAGTTCTAAAATCTTGAAGGACCTGGTGACCAGAAACAATCAGTACAATTCCTTAACTACAGATTATCCTGCCTTTGTTTGTAGATCAGTCAGTTTTAAATGCAAGACATATTTTGATAAACTTTCCAATAAATCTTTCTTCTTATGTAGCCAGCATTTTTAAGGTAGCCGTAGTTAGTTGTTAATAAAACAACACCAGAACCTTAATGCTGGTTTTGTGCATTTTTAACTTTGAATTTCTATCCAGATCACAAATTAAAAAATTAATCTAGTGAATAAGAAACACATCATCCAGCATTTTTTAACACAATAAATGTAAAAATTAAGAATTGGAATAAATTTTAGGATAAGTTATGTAAGTTGCTTAAATGAATGTCATTACTCCTGGGGGAATTCTGTGCCTAAAAATTCTGTGCACAGTATTTTAAATTTCTGCAAAATTCTGCGTATTTTGTCAAAATTGCACAATATAATCTCACTAGTTTCAATTATTTTTGGTCATTTATTTCAAAATCCCTGTCAGCAAGTATGTCTCTATAACAATACAGACAACAAAAAACATTCGGGAAATGTTTTTTTGACAAATAGATTCCGTACTAGGCATACTAATACAGAACTCTGATTAACAATTAATTTAAACTACAATACCGAACTGTATTTCCTGCACCCCTCAGAAGCAGTGCAAAGGCTTGGGGGTGTCGGGGTAATGGAGGAGCTGAGGGAGAGGGAAGGAGCCTGGTTGTGAACTTGGAGCTTTGTTGTGTATGGGTGGGAAAAGTATGGAACAGGTTTTTTGAGGGGGGGACAGGGAGGGATTGTTAGGGAGCTTCCCTCATGTAGACCCTGGCTGACCCCTAGCCTCACTCTTTCAGTCAGGCACATCTGCCCCTGTCCCTATGTGGCTCTGTACC